TGGCTGTAATAGAGAGCTATCATATGTTTATCAAAGCTGTAAACTGTGAAAGATAATACAATGATAAGTTCTTCATTGCTAATTTAATCAAATAAGTTATCATGATGGTGGGGCCTTCAAACATCATCCAGGTCATTACTGATAATGCACCTGTTTGTAGAGCTGTAGGTCTACTTGTAGAGCAAGTCTATCATTATATTTTCTGGACACCATGTATTGTGCATACGCTTAATCTTGCCTTAAAACACATTTGTCCAGCTAAGAATACTGAGGCAAACAAAATCGCCTACAATGAATGTCATTGGATCACAGTGATTGCTGGAGATGCAGCTGTAATTAGGAGGATCCTCAAACAGTTTTTCCACAGAAAGATTTAGAAATTTCAAAAGATTTAGAAATTTCAAATATGAGGAAGACATTTTTGAAATGTTATTTTCCAAATAAGGAGGAGAGAAGAAGTGTCAATATTGAGCTTGCTAAATTTTTTGGTTATTTAGAAGACTTTGGGGACCAAGAGTCATTGCGTGATAAGTGGAGAATTGATCTAAAAATGTGATGGATTATACATGGAACATCAGCACCTCTACTTCAAACAACAACAACAACAACATCAAGCCTTTATCCCACTACGTGGGATCGGCTACATGAATCCTTTTTCTCCATTGTGTCCTATTAAAAGTCAAATTCTCGTTTAAATCTAATAAAGAAAGGTCAATCCTAATATTTTCTAACCAAGTCTTTTTAGGTCTGCCTCTACCTTTCTTAACATAAGTCAAATCTACTACCTCTACTCTCCTAACCGGGTCATTGGAAGGCCGTCGTTTTATGTAACCAAACCATCTAAGGCGACTCTCTCTAATCTTATCTTCTACTAGATCTATTACAACTTTTTCACGTATATGCTCATTTCGTATCCTATCTCTAAGGGTAAAGCCACTCATCCAACTGAGCATCCTCATCTCTACCACACTTAACTTAGTATTATGCTTCTCTTTTAATGGCCAACATTCAGCACCATAAATAAGGCAATTATTAACTCCTTTTCTTTTCAGAAACTCTCCATAACACTTCTCTTGTAAACTTTATCATATTGCTTTTTCTAAATCAAGTAAATATCATATGTAGATCCTCCTTATTTTCTCTATATTTCTCCATCAAACCTCTTAATAAATGTTATATGGCTTCCATGTCGACTCTACCCGGCATGAATCTAAATGATTTTGAGAAAAATTAGTATTTCACACCACAACCTTATGCTCCATAACTCGCTCCATAGTTTTAAAGTATGACACATTACTTAATTCCTCTATTAATTTCGCATATCTTGTGCATTTCACCTTTATTCTTAAAATAGAATTAACACACTCATTCTCCACTCATCTGACATCTTTTTAGTCTTCAAAATAGTATAAAAAGTTTAGTAAGCTAAGAATTTCCTTCATCCCTAAGGCGATTTCGCACTCTATTGAAATCATCATTGTCCAACAGCTTTTCCACCCTTCATTTTCTTTAAAAGCCTCTCTAACTTCGGTTTAATTAATACGCAGATAAAAACAAAAACTTTATTATTCATTTGGGTATCTAAGCTCATAATAGTCAACTTAGTTTCACAATTTTCATTAAAAAGTTTAAGCAAATATCTCATATCCACCTTTATTGATATCATCTTCTAAGAAAAGTATTTTTTGATCTTCACCTTAATACACTTTATTGAACTAAATTCCTATTACTACTTCTTATCTCTTTTGCTGGCTAAAATTATACATATATCTTTCTCCCTCCTTAGTACTAATAATTATATAAATCAGCTAATAGCTAAGGGTTTTTGCATCGCAGTATTGCTTTTTTAGATTCTTACGAGCCTCTTTATATCTTTCCCAATTATCAGAATTTTTAAATTAAACTAATTTTTATAACAAATTTTTTTATTCTTAATCTTTTCTTGCAATTGGATTTCCACCACCAACTATTTTTGACTATTATGGACTTTTCTTTTGATACTCAAAGTACATCTTTGCGCAATATTCTTAATATCAATAGCCCACTTTTCCCAATAACATTAGTATCCTCATAGCACAGATAAAATCTTAAGATCTAAAATTTTACTCTCAAAAATATTTTTGTATTATTCTTTAAATGACCTTCATCTAATCCTAGATATCGTTTTCTCTTTATTTTATATTATCTATCCCTTTATCTTAAAGTCCAAACTAAATTAATCGATGTTTGTTGTAACATAAAAATTTTCACTCGGAATAACTTTACAATCTTTGCAATCTAAACGATCTAATTTTCTTATAAGAAAATAGTCAATCTGGGTTGTACTATATCCATTTTTATAAGTGATGAGATGCTCATTCCTTTTCTTAAATAAGCTATTAGCAATTGAAAAATCATAAGTTAAACAAAAATTTAATATGGTCTTACCACCTTTCATTTATTGTTCCAAAACTATATCCATCATGAATGCTTTTAAAATCATCTACCTCCCTACCAACATGTCCATTTAAATCTCCTCTAATAAAAACTCTTTCTTCTAGAGGTATCTTTTATAATAATTCTTCTAAGTCATTCCAAAAATTTAATTTAGAACTCATATCCAAACCTACTTGAGGAGCATAAGTACTTATAATATTAACAATCTTATCATCAAAAATAATCTTTAAAGCTATAATTCTATCTCGAATCCTATTAATTTTTATAACATTATCATTCAAACTCTTATCTATAATAACACCTACACCATTTCTAGTACGACTCATGCCCGAGTGCCAAAGTTTAAATCCTAAACTATCAATTTCCTTAGCCTTCTCTCCAATCCATTTAGTTTCCTGAATGCACAAAATATTTATCTTCATATGAATCATAATATCTATTAACTCCATTAATTTTTCTGTAAGGGAACCTATATTCCAAGTTCCTATCCTAATTTTAGTTTCATGGACTAGCTTCTTTGCCCACATCCGTCCTTGATGTGGGAACCCTTGCCTATTTAACACTGCAACCGGGCGCCGGTGCAGCGGCCCTTGCACACTTCTCACTGTATTCAGGCCATACAACGCGTTGCTTCCAGGGGACGCCCTAGCATTAACACAATTTTTTAAAGGATTCTTGTCATTATTATTCGACAAGTTTTATGCTGGCTGTCGACTACCTAACGCAACCCTCCACTTTTCTCATCCAGCACCTCTACTTCAAACAATCGCCATAAAATTGCTTGGCCAAGTTTCATCATCATCTTGTTGTGAAAGAAATTGGAGCACATACTCGTTCATCTAATCAATGAAGAGAAATAAAATTAATTCACAACGGGCTGAAGATTTAGTTTATGTGCATACAAACCTTCGGCTTCTCTCAAGAAAAATTTCAACTTATATGGAAGGAAATAATAGGATGTGGGATGTTGCTGGAGATGGATTTGAATCTCTTGAGGATATGGGAATATTAGAAATTGCTAATCTTTCACTTGATGAGTCTGAATTGGAAGCTATGATATTCATTGAAGATGATATAGAAATTCAAAGACAAACCACTAAAGAAGCTAATCCTATCATTCATTCTATTGAATAGTTCAAACTTCATTTGCTGGAAAATTTATGTTTATGTTTTTGTTGTTGTACTAGACATTTAAATATTTAATGCTTACTTTTATTTTGATATTATAAGATACAATGCTACAAATGATGTTGCTTTCAATCTTTTTGGTCATTTCAAATATTATGCTTTGATTAATTTGTTATTTTTATATATGATTTATATATTATAATGTCGTATCCGCACTGTATCTGTATCATGTATTTTTAAGAATTGCCGTGTCCCGTATCCGTATCGTGTCGTATCCGTGTCGCTATATTCGTATCGGTGCAACATTGGTCTCAATGTTAGTGGTTATCAGTGAGATTGAGGATACGAGAAGGTAATTCACACTCAAAACATCTTTCTAACTTCCCCCTCCTTCAGCCCTTCATCAACCCTTAGATTGCACATAAAAAATAAAAAATAAAAAATAAAAAACCCTTAGATTGCACATGGTTAAGCCTTCAGCTGAGGGCTTTCCAATGACAATAGTACCGGTGTTCCTTCTCTTTACATTCCTCTCCCCTGTGAATTAGATCAGAGCCTAATTTCATAAAAGCTCCATGTCGTAATCCCAACTAGCATTTAAACTAACACATGACTAGCTTGCCAGTTCAAATTAATTCTTGTTTAAGATAAGGGTGGGAAAACCGAAACTTGAGAATTGGGAATAATTCCTAAAATCATGCTCTTGAAAAAAGAAACTTAATTTCATGATTAGAGAGATAGTGAATGTAGAATTTTTTAGGGTTTTATACAATTCCTTTGTTTAGGAGTGATCAATGGGGCCTTTGCCTGTACTTGTACACATTAGGACTAGAAAGCATTGATTTGTCTCGTGCGCGGTAGATATTGTGCTTGACCTGCATTATATTTTATAAGGTTTTCCGTTACCAAGGGCTCGTTGGTCTGGCTTTTCACCTACTTATGCAGCTTTTTTATTGTTTTTGAAAGCAACTTTTTAGTATAATTTTTTTTTGAACTAGGAATTTTTATACTAAAAAGCTGCTTTAGAAAACATTAAGAATGCCGCCCCAAACGAAACATTAATTGTCTAAATTCGTTTATTTGCATGTAACTATTGCATTAGTATATGTGTTATACAGATTTAACTTGATGAATATATGGTAGCTATATGAACATTTCAAATTACACCACGGTGAACGCTGATTTTTCTTGGCAATTCACATTGTTATGTTTATATATAGTTACTGGTAATATTGGTATTTTTTCTCGAGACTTTAAGCATTTAAATTTTTACATGTTAAACTTATGGAAGCATCTCATGCATTGAGTGAATTAATAGAACTACAGAAGTGATAGAATGGTTAATAGACTAAAGAAAGGAAACTTCATTAAAAAGATGAGCAACCAAATGAAATATACAAATGAGGAGAGTATGGTCATCAAAGATTGCATCTTACGATTTGCCATCACCAAATTTCCACCATTCTGGTTCATACCATTTGTGGCTCCTGCATACAATCATGAATAAATCAATATAAATAACAAATGAACACCCATCAACAATCCTATTGAAGATAAAATACAAAGCACTCAAGTATTTTACTCACAACTCAGAGAAAACTTCACCAGACTTCATACATCCAATATAGACACGAGGCTTGTCCATATAAGATGCAAGCATAGCTCCAAATCCATCTATAAAAATTAGTAAGCCGCATTGCATTAATATTAAATCAATTACAAAGATGAGTGAGCATGTATGCATATGATCCTTATAGGATCAAAAGAATGGTTGTTCAGGATTACATGCCCAAGGAAACAATGATTTGGCACTTATATGGCGCTTCTAACATTTATTGGACTCAATAAACATGGACATAGACATCCTGACAAGCATGCTGTTTGGCATATCCATAAAAATACCTCTCTCTCTCTCTCTAGCTACAATGACTGCCCCCTGGCTGAGTTTTAGGTATGGCATCATCTTGAGAAATAAAGTAGAATTAAATGAATTCATTACTAACGAGAATTTTTGTTAATAAGTTCCCACCAAACCCATGCCATGCCGTGCAGCAAGCAACACCTTATGGTTCAACCACCATGTGACAGTAACCTAAGCAGCATCAAATTTGTAATATCTTCTCTCTCCCTATCTTGAAGCTTCAACCATTCTTACTCAATCTCCATTATTAATTTCTGCATCCCTTAGAATTTTCGGACGATAGACAGAAAGAAAAATTTGCATGTTTAATTTCACCCATGTTACTCGATGTAAGTTTACTTAATCCTTTGAAACATAATTTTTTCTATGGTAAGCGAGTAGGTGAAACTTTATTATTAAGTTTTTCATTCACTACTGTCCCCTTATCTCTAACCCCAGTATCATTGCTTCATAGATCTTTCATGCTGATTTACCCAGTAAATGACAATTTCAAAGATAACTGAGACAAAAATGCAATCTAATCTCAATAGGATAGCTAGCTGCAAGAGAGAGAACACTAGAGCAAGTAAAATGGGTGAAACTGAACAGCCAAGAATCCACTGCATATGAAAGAGCACCAAGTATACCTAGAGCATGAAGCTCCTATCAATGTAGGGGAATAAGGAACCGTTGATGTTCAGAGCATTACCCTTTGTATTTGCAAAGCTGTTTCAGTGCACCAAGCAATAGACATAACAATTATTCACAAGTAAATAGTATCATAATTTTAAAGGCTTCGGGTTTTTTTTTTTTTTTTTTTTTTTGGGTTCCGGGTTTTTTTTTTTTTTTTTTTGACCCTTCTAAACCTGACTTAAAAGTTTCATATTCCACAAAAATATATTTTCCAAAGATTATTCAAAGTTTGGATTCTACTGTTAAGTCTAGATTTTTAGTCTTAGCTTTCTACTAAGGTTTAATAAGCAATTCAAAGTTACCCACTTAGTCGGTCCTTTATCATTTTCTGGCCTCTTTGTAAGAGATTCTAATTAGAAAAACTTATCACATATAGTGATAATAGCCTAACAGAAATTTCAAGTTTATTTTCAAATATTCACAAGCATATGAGCAAGAGAAGTTTTATTAATTCTTGAAGCCATTACGATAAAATGCTTAATAGGTTAAATAGATTTTTTATGCTAACATTTTTATCATGAAACAAAATACAAAAACAAGGTGTTCTTACCAATATTAACATAAATATTGTCATTAACCTTAGCATAGAACTCAGCATCCCACTTGTCTGCAGCATGAACAAAAAACAATTTCGTTTTTTTGGGGAGTTCTTCAGAAGCTTCCACATGATCATCCTGGTAGAGGGAAAAGAATGTTTGTTATGATGAATACACCACAGAAAGTAGAATTTGGCAAATATTATAAATAAAACAGAATTTAAGTAAATTGTCCAACATGAATATTGGCACTAAAAACAAAAAGCAAGGTGGCATCTAATTAAGATGTTCCCTACTAATGATAGAAAGGGACCTCAAATAACTCATTAGAAACACCCCAGTATGTGCATTGGTAAACAATGACCTCAATAATCAGTACTGAAATATCAAAAATAGACCATAAGGTTGAATATTTCCCAAATTATGCAGCGGAGCTGATTAAATTGATGATTTCAATTGTCCTTTGAAAGCAAGCAAGACTTTTAGCAAATTTATCAAAATCCGACATCTCTAGCCCTAGACTTATAAAACAGGTTCATATCCACAGGAGAGTTCAACGCAAGGTTTAAAATTGCGTAACTGCGCCTCGAGGCGGTTTTCGTCCGTGAGGCGAGGCGTAAGCCTCGAGGCGGTCTGAGGCGTAAGCCTCACGAACACAGAATTGCGTAAATGAAAAATTAAGGATTTTATAAACCATGGTTCAACGCATGGGTGTTGATAGATTTGACTGAAGGTGATGATAAATATATGCTAAAGGATAAAGTTGGATTCATATAATGACAGTACTACTCTTAGACTCTTCTGCTGCACTTCAATGTGTAATACATTCTGTAGGGTGTAAAAATTCGGGCGAAAGAGTTTGTCCAAGGTAAAAATTTCAAAAAGTAGATTAAATTGCAGGTAAGACATTGCCCAAAGATTTCACCCTCATTTAGTGAGGATTTTGTGATATGGTTCCAGGTTTCTTATCAGTGTAAACTTTTATAGTAGCTTACCCCTTCTAATAATGAGGAAAATCTTTTGATTAACATAGTTGATAGATGTTAAATCGATAGTTTATAGTAGCAGCAATTTTAAGTTGATTGAGTAAAATATACCATCATTAGCTTGAAGGAAATGGAGGGAGGAATGATGACGAAACCGATCAAGTACTGATGTTTCAATCGTCTCAAGTTGTCATAGACCTTGATCTAATTAGTCAGCTGAGGTAGAAGACCCAATATGACAAAAGGATTCTTGCTAGCAACCAGGAGTTGGATTGTCCAACGGGGCCTTATAGACCAAGGTAAAATGCTGGTCTAAGGAGCAATTTTAAGTCCACTTTAGTTGATAGAGGACTTTATGCCTGTGTATTCCATAATTCACCACTCAGAGAATTTAGGGGCATTAGGAAACTTACAGGCTCTAGATGTGACTGAAATTTAATGGTTTCGTTTTGTGGCGAAACTACCCAATTAGAGGGTTACGATAATAATCATTATTTAGCGATGTCATTTGGCATCAAAACCACCCAATTAAATGGCACATGTGATATCCATAATAGCGTGCGATCTTTTGAGAGAGAGAGAGATCATAACAATACGTTTGATATGACACTAGCTCTTTCTGAGCTGAGATTAATCTTAAATTTACCTCTTGACAAATTATTGCGAGAGGTAATGGATATTTTCTTTAATCTCTAAGATGGTTAACTTCACTTGAATGTCTTGAATTTTGTAATTACTCTTTTTAAAATTTAAAGCTTAATTCGGATTTGAGCCCCAAATATCTTGCTTTGAATTTAGGAAAATTTTGAATTTATATTATTTTATCCCGCATTGCATTTTGACCTTCATATACAAATGTTAGCAAATTTACCAGAGCACATCTAGTTGATTTTGTGTTTGATGCTTGGCACATTTGAGGGCAAGCAAGCATCTTGAGGCACTCAATGTACAAATATGATTTTGTAACTATTCAAATTTAATTTCATGCATGAACATTTTGGTTACTAAATGGGTAAAAGCATTTTTATTTGAGCTTTAATATCCTCATTTTGTCCGCTTGAAGTCAATATTACAAATCCAACAACAATTTTCATGAATTGGAAGGTTTTCACATGTTCAATATTTGCATTTTAAGGGGATAGGCTTCACTATGAGGAATTATTTCTTTCTTCATAAATAGGGATGGTATGACCAAAATGTGATCAGAGTTTTTTTTTTTTTTTTCATTTTTAGTGAAATGGATTTTACTTGAGGAATCATTACTCTCTCCCTTTTGTTATACATAAGGGAGTTCTCTTTAAATCACACTCGCATTGAAATAAGCTCACAAGATGCATTATTGATTCTAAAAATAGATAAGAATTTTAGCTTCACTCTCTAGTGAGATTTCAAATTCCTTGTACTACATGTTTTCATTAAATTTTTATTCCATTATGCTCTTTCAAGGCAGCAAATTTTGCAATTGAGGCTCTCATTTTAGTTCTTAGCTTGCACTTATATTTCTTTTTATTGCATTTATGTCTAAAAAGTCACCTTTTTTTTCTTATTTGCAAGTTAGTTGAGAAAAACATCAGTTGCCTCTCAACATCTACCCCTCATAAGAGATGTCTATGAAAAGTCTAGGCTTGTCCATCATGCCAAGGAAAACATACATGGATGACTTTCTAGGAAACAACAGTCATAGCGTTTAAAACCCAAGACACTAAAAGCACGTACTGCGTAAGAAAAGCACAAAAAATTAAAATTCGCAACATAATATATCCCCTTCAGCTAAGAAAAGTGCATGGCACTTAACCATTGAATCACAATGTTGCCTACGAGTTTCCCAACCATGCTATGAAAGGTGCACACAACTTCTTCTTGTCATGCCAAGCACAGCACAATAAGATCTTAGGAGTTTTGAGAGGAGTATTATATACTTCTGCGCACAAGACGATTGTAATAATAAAGAGGCAATAAGATTGCTGCGGTGAGAATCAAAACACATAAATTTTCCTTTCTCTTTCTTTTTTTTTTGGTTTAGAGAGAGGAAGAGAGAGAGAGAGAGAGAGAGAGAGAGAGAGAGAGAGAAAGAGTAAGAAGGGTAAGTAAGTGACAAAGTAAAAAAGAGATATTGATAGCAAAGAGAGAGAGAGGGAAGAAGAGGGTAGTGGTTGTGAAGTTGAGAAGCGAAAAAAACTAATTAAAGGGGAAATGAGAGAGAGAGAGGGAGAGAGAGAGAGAGAGAGAGAGAGAGAGAGAAAGAGTAAGAAGGGTAAGTAAGTGACAAAGAGAGTAAAAAAGAGATATTGATAGCAAAGAGAGAGAGAGGGAAGAAGAGGGTAGTGGTTGTGAAGTTGAGAAGCGAAAAAAACTAATTAAAGGGGAAATGAGAGAGAGAGAGGGAGAGAGAGAGAGAGAGAGAGAGGGTGAATAAAAATGGTGTGAGTTGATTTCCTCCGAGCTTAGGTTGACAATGCAAAGGGTCATTGGGGAGAAGTAGCCGTATGGAGGTTGAAGGTTTGCTATAGCTATTTGTGGACGAGGATAATTTGATGAGTTAGGATTACTGTTATAGCAGTTTGAGTTGTGCGATGGAATGATTTCACAATAGAATTTGTTGTTGATGACATAAGCAAGGGTTGCGATTGGTTGATGTTGAAGGAATAGAAAAGAGGAATTTAGATTAAACAGAAATGGGTTGTATAGGTTCATACGCAGTGAAACAAGTGACCTTGTCATCAATGATTAAGATATCGAGTTCAACGGGATGCATGAGGTGACCATGAGCTTAAGCAAGAAATAGGAATGGCTTTGTATTTGCATGGGAGTGGCTTACCGATGATGAGGAAGCGACTGGTGAGAGTGCAAGCGAACTGCAGCATAGGAGTAGTGGCGTCAAGTGATGGCAGTGTTGGTTCGACAAAGGAAGAAATGAAGAGAAATTCATGAGGACTGCCATTGGAGGGTTTCCAAAAGGATTTTTGAAAGAAGGGAGAGCACTCAGAGGAGACGGGGTAGAACATGTTACTTCCCTAAGTCTTTAGCTTGGAGAGAAAGAGAATAAGATGAGGGTTTTCGAGAGTAGGGGAGAATGACAAAGAAAAAAAAAGGGAGAGCCATTGGTGAGTAATGATTTTGTCATTTTTGAGATGGAGACGAGAAAAGAGTTTGTGGTTTGTGTACAGGGCAACGGGAGGAGATAATGGTATGGGACAAAGTCATGTGCACTTTTGGAGAAAGATAAAAGGAGAGGGAATGGGCTAATGCAACAGATTTAAAAGGTAAACAGCCAGCAATACACAATATACTATATATATTAAAATTGCACATAAAGAAGGCGCGCCTCTGCGCAATTTGACCCAAAACCGCCTCGAGGCTTAGGCAATTCCTTCCTGGCAGAGGCGATACGGCCTCACTTGAACTGAGGCAGCGTCGCTCAGAGGCGCACATTGCGCATTCTCTGTCGCTGAGCCGCGATAACGCCTCAAAGTAAGTTGCTTAGCATACGACTCAGTCATTATGAAAACTCCCAAAAACGAAACAAATCCCACCATAAAACCCAACCCCAACACACTTCATCACCCAACCCACCCCACAACCCAGCGTAAACGCCTCAAGCATACATGCTCTCAGTCATTCTAGATACAAGCTCTTTCTCCAACGGTACATGTACGACTATGCTCAACAACACAACAAACACCCCACACAAACCTAAACACAAACCCCAACACTAAATAGACGAGGATAAACACCCACCGACCGCTCCAGACTACTCCATTTGCTCAATGAAAATATACAGCTAAACCAAAACGGTATTTGAACATCCCACCCATCACACAACACCAACCAGACACCCCAACCACAAACAATAAAACCAAAAAAAAACAACCACACTCAAATCCAGGTACTGCTTAGGGTACATTGTCCAGAGCAGAGGTACCGCTCCAGTACGCTTAGGTACACATCGTCCGGTGGAGAAGAGGTACTGCTAAGGAACATGCTCCAGGTACCACTCGGTATCTTCCCTAAAAATATTACGAAACTTCAAAACAAATAGATTTTTTCAAAATTACTTTACATAAAATTTTGTTCCGGGGCGTGCCCCCGAAAATCCTGCAGGGGGCAGCGCCCCCTTGGGACCCCCGACAGTCCGGCATATTGTTCTATTTC